TCTGATGTTTGAGAAAATTATTTATATAATATTCATTCATTTTCTTGTCCCTTTATTAATCTGGGGTCACCACAGCGAAATGAACCGCCAACTTATCCAGCACATTTTTACGCAGCAGATGCCCTTCCAGCCTCATCTGTACCGCATGTCTTTGGACTATGGGGAAACCGGAGCAACCGGAGGAAACCCACACAAATGCAGGGAGAACATGCAAACTCCACACAGAAACGCCATCTGAGCCGAGGATCGAACCAGCGACCTTCTTGCTGTGAGGCGACAGCACTACCTACTGCGCCACAGTGTTGCCTTTATATATAATATATTATTTATAATATTATAAATATAACTTAATCAATTCTTTAATTTTTTTTGTTCTTTTTACTGACTTTTACTGTAAAAATGTCCTAAGAAAATAACTCTTATGTACTAGCCTGAGGCATCTATTAATTATGTTCGTGTGGGTTTTCTCCGGGTGCTCTAGTTTTCCCCACAGTCCAAAAACATGCGCTATAGGTGAATTAAATAAACCAAATTGGCCATAGAGTATGAGTGTGTGTGTGAATGTGAGAGTGTTTAGGTGATTTCAAGTTCTGAGTTGCAACTGGAAGGGCATCCGCTGTTTAAATGATATGCTGGAATAGTTGGCGGTTCATTCCACTGTGGCAACCCCTAAAGAATAAAGCGACTACGCCGAAGAAAAATGAATGAATATATAATATAAAATATAAATATTGTTATGTGATATTGTAATGTTAGCAATTCTTTCAGTTTTTTTTTTGTTCATACTGAATTGTACCGTAAAAACGTCCTGTGGTGTTAATGAACAAAAATAAAGAGAAACAACTCTTCTGTATCTTTTTTTGTCATTATTATTATTATTATTAGTCATTTGCATCAATGTTTTAAATCATATAAATGTTAAACAAAATATTGAAAAAACAACAACTCCTTATAATATACGAGTCATTTGATTGAAATTGTAATCTGAGATTGTAATATTTTTTCTTTCATGATCTGTTGGACTGTTGGATTTTATTGTGGTTTTGTAAAAACAAATTGTGTGCATATTAGGTTTCACAAGGGGCTTCAGTCACACAATCTTGAAAGGGGTCCTTCATTTATTAATTTTTCTTCGCATAGTCCTTTTATTCATCAGGGGTCGCCACAACGGAATGAACCGCCAACTTATTCAGAATATGTTTTACACAGCGGATGCCCCTCTAGCTGCAACCCAGTACTGGGAAACATCCATACACTCATTCACACATATACATTATGGCCAATTTAGCTTATTATTGTTACCCATGCCAACACAGGGAGAACATGCAAACTCCACACAGAAATGCCAACTGATCCAGTCAGTGATCGAACCAGCAACCTTCTTGCTGTGAGGCCACAGTGCTAACAACACAGTGCTGAGCTACCGTGTTGCTTGAATGGGGTCCTTCAAATAATTAAAGTTTTCAGTGGAATTGGCGGTTTAAAATTAGCGTATAATGTCACACCAGAAGACAGGATTTTCAGTGACAAAATGTCAGGTTCATGTTTTTAAAAATATATGAACAAAAAAAGATTGTCATTTACTAAAATAGACACTTATTAGTTACTTAATATTAGGCCTGAGGCGTTTATTTATATACATTTTTATAAAATTAATATATTAAAAAATAATAATTGATATTTTAACATTTTATTTTTTATGTAATGGTAATTTATTGAACTATGCTTGAGACACCACATGACAGTTTTGGGATTTGATTAAAAAATGTAATAACACTGCACTTTTTATAACAGGAGATTTACGCAAGACAAATAAATGTTTAATTATTTACTGCATTTTAAATGTCAATACAAATTTTATTCAATTTTGTCTATGAAAATGCAACATCACATCAATAATCCACATACAAGCTAAATAAAATGAACACCACAGGCTCCTCATGATACATTGAAAGCAAAATGGTCTGTTAAAGAAACTGAACATTATTTACAACATTATTACCTTTAATCCAATATCCCTGTCTCTCTGTTCCTAGCACATGCACACACCTAATGTGTGTGTCTTTCTGTATCAGCACATGCCACAAGAGCATGCGCATGTGTGTGTGCACCACATATGTGTGTGTGTGGATAAAATTGAAATTCTGTGGCTGTAGGAAACAGGTGCAGCCAGAAGGCTAGATATTACACATCTGGACTCCCCTGTGATGTCACTGTCAGCAGGACGCTCCACTGGTGTCAATTAGTAGGAGAGGCAGGAGAGGGGGAGAACTTTCCCCTCCTTCTTTGTCTCTCAATCTTTCTCTCTCCTTTTTTTCAGACACACTCACACATGTACCTACATAGACACTTATGCTCCGTCTCTCCTACGGTATAATCTGTCTCTCAAAATGATATGCTCTGTCTCTATCACACTCACACTCTTTCTTTCTCACGCACGCCGTCTTGCTCGTTATTGATATATGTGTTTCACAAAGGTTTCATTTAGGCCTCTGCTGTCTGTTACTGTATTTAAATTCTTTCTTGATGTGTGCAGAGGTCAATTTTGTCATTATTTTTTACAAAGATAGCTAAACCCTTTCTACGTTTTTTTGTGTAGACTTGTACAATGTTTTTTTAAACATAGTCAACAATGTTTTGAAACAATTATATTTGATTTACCAATGTCAAACAAGTGCCAATTTCACATCTGTCACATCCATAACGCAGAGATGTCACGTCCATAATAATAATTAGTGTTCAGGACTGTATAAGTATAAAATTTAATTCATAATCGTCTTAAAAGGGTCATTAAAAGTTTAAATTTGACTAAAACTGTGATTATTCCTGACTATAATCGTACAACCAAAATCTATAATGGTTGCATTCCTATTAAAGATTGGTATTTTTTCTGATCCCATTACTCAGTGGTTAAATGTTTTGGAAAATATAATCGGATGTTTTGAATATGATGTCAACATATGCTTTATATGTGAGTTTATGTTTTGAGTTTTTACTGCAAAAGTCGCATTCATAATGCTGGAATTGGTCTGCAGTGTAGTCAAGCTGTTTCTCAAAGCAGTTTTAGTGAAATTAAACTTCATACTGTCAGTAGTTTGGGATTACTCATAAATAGCTGCTTAAATTTGGCATAAATAAAAAAAGATGTTGGCGATACTGACTGACTTTGTTTGGTTATGACACCAATATTTGATGCATTCCTAATACCGGTTGGCTTTCTTTCAGAGCGTTCTATTGTGTCAAGACTGACAGGGTCATGACAATGTCTGTGTGTGTTTTGTATGCTGTGGGACAATGGCTCTGTGGAATGCAGAGGATGAGCATTATGGACTGCTGTTTACTTTGGACTCAGACCGTTAAACTTTTAACTGCGTCCAATTAAACTGTGTGCAAGGACAGGATGTCTCAAGCAAATGCATGCACAAACACAGGAGCGCACACTTAAAAAGACTAGGATACTCTATACTACCAATTCACTGGCAGAATGAAACACACACACACACACACACACACACACACACACACACACACACACACACACACACACACACACACACTCTACAGATGGCTGTAATAGCTCTGTGTTGTGGGCGGCTTAAGTGCGTGACCCCTGTGTGCCTGGCCATTGACCTCTGCTGCTCTGTGGTTGGGTTTCAGCCATGTGCTTGGTTTACACATAAATACACCCTATACTGTAGCCTTCACTGTCTCAGGACACAGTTCAGTATCCTTAAAGATGCAGAGTCAAGCTGTGAGGCCATTTACCTCCCTTAGAGCCTTTGGGATGTAAAGGCATAGCTGTTAATAGAATATCTTGTATTAGTTTGTGTCTTTATGTAGTGTCATTTGTTAATGAGTCATTAGCTATGTTTCAATCCAAGAATGCCAGTTAAATTAATGCGCAAAACTGAAATAGTGTATAAAAGAATCGTAAATAATACAGGTTTCCATTTCAGTCAAAGAGAAAAAAAAAAGTCGCCAAATTTCTTGCACTTCAACTTGCGCTTCAGAAGACAATGCAGACATGCAATGAACGTGTGGTGGCTTTCAGATTATTATTGCATTACAATCAAAATCAGAACAGTTGAGCAGTTGTGTATAGGGCGGACATTATATATTAAGATAGTTAACCTGCAATTATATAGTGTATAGCAGGGATCACCAAACTTGTTCCTGGAGGGCCGGTGTCCTGCAGATTTTAGCTACAACTCTAATCAAACACACCTGAACAAGCTAATCAAGGTCTTACTAGGTATACTTGAAACAACCAGGCAGGTGAGTTGAGGCAAGTTGGAGCTGAACCCTGCAGGGACACCGGCCCCCCAGGACAGAGATTGGTGACCCCTGGTGTATAGTGTCCTTCCAAAAGAGGGTAATGTGTAAGTGTACGTGTTCAATGAAGTGTACCTGTATATTAAGTGTATGTGTTGTCCTCGAAGTCCTAGAATGGTTTGAATCATCTCTTCATACTGTATGTCTTGGATCTGATCAAGTGGCGCTGCGCAATCTCTAAAGGCCTTGGGATGGGCATCCCCAGGTGGAAATAGAGAGCAAAGAAAATAATTAGTGTTGCTGCTGTTCATAATGTATTTGAACAAGAGATAATAATGTTAAATGTGACAATGTTTACATTGTTTACAAATACATATGCCACATTTTCTTCTTTTTTCTCCTTTTTTCTTTTCTTGCCTTTCGCCGTTAATGGAAGAAATAAAAGTTTCTACATAAACAAACATGTAAAACATACATATTTCTAACAAGGTGTTAAATTATTGTAAACAGAAGTTCTGAAAGCTCTTGTTTAGTTAAGCTACTCATAAATGTCGGGTAAAGAACTGAACTTGTTTGTGCAGGGGTTTCTGGGAAAGGTTGTACCGTGCTTTAGGGCTTCATGAACCTGAGTCCAGCCACAGCAAAAGGCCAAAACTGTCACTCTCTTTTGTTACATTTGTTTATCCTGACAATGTTCTCTCTCCATTCTCTCTCTCTCTCTCTCTCAGCCCCAGGGTATCCCCGCTTTTCAGGGAGTCTAGCCCCCACCTTCCTGCCCATGAGCCCCCTGGATCACCATGGCAACAGCAGCGTACTTTATGGACAGCACCGTTTCTATGACACTCAGAAAGGTGAGTGAGGTTCAGTTTCTTTTGTCAAGCAGCCTACAAAACTTAGACATGCAAAACTATGTCTAAATTTGATTTCTTTCCTTAGATTTCTATCTACGAAGCCTCCCATCGCAGCCCCACCTTCTCTCTGCAAATCACAGCCTCCCACCGCTTTCTAGAACTGCTCCTGCCCACCCGCTGGACTCCTGCAGTCGTGAGAGGGAACCTGGAAGCACAGTTTCCCAGAAGAGCTCCAAAGAGACAGGTGTAGCGGAGCGAAGAGTAGGACCCGGAGGAAAAGAAAAAGAAAAGAGTAAACAAGAATCTAAGCAGGATCGTCATCATGGTCCTCCCACCCTTCATCACCACCACCAGCATCATCCACAGCATCATCCCCAAGGCCTAGAAGATGACTTTCGGCACAAAGATGACCCCAAGCACCTTAGCTCCTGCCTGCTTAGCACTAAGACGCAGAATGGCTCTGATCCAGGGGCGGCCACCAGGGGCTCTTTACCCAGTTGTGTGGGTCCTGGAGCCTCCAGTCTGGGGACTGGCCGGCAGACAAGTGGAGACAGTCACTGTTGCAAGGAAGGGGTCAGTGGAGAAATGCGAATTAGCGAGCCAGCCTCAGACTGCCTTCGTCACAGTGCCATGCTGGGCCATGCCCACCCAATGCCCTACTCCATGCCCCCACCTCTGGGCCTAGGCTCTGCAGTGGGAGGATCCTGGCTGCATCCGAATCATCCACACCATCACCATCCTCATCATCCCCATGCAGAGCTCTTTTGTCCACCTCCCCCTGCTCCACTGACCATGCCCACTGCTCAGGAAAAGAGCCTTGGCAGAGACTCTGAGGTTACAGGGCCCACCTTTGTGCCCTCTGTGGGGCCACTGGGAGATAAAATCAGTGGACCATTCCAGCTGGGGAACCATCACTGTCGAGGTGTGGGAGGTGGTATGATTGCAGTTGGTGGCAGTGCAGGGAAAGAAACGAAAACTCCTGAGAGGAGTAGCAGTGGAAGTCGAGCAGCTAACCTACTGCCTCAGAATAGCTGCCAAAGAAAATCTTCCCAGCAGCAACATGCATATGGTAAAGCAGACAAGAGTCCAGACTGGCCCCCCGGCCCCCATTTACGCACAAACGAGGTTCAGCACAGTCAGAATCAGCATACCCACTCAGCACGTTCATGTAGCTTGGACAGCAGTGAGGAATCTGATGCCTTTCGTCCCTCTCTGCCACAGGGGACGAAGGGTGGCCACCAAGCTAAGAGTAGCATTTATGCCAGCACTCCACCTTTCCGGGACTGTTCTCACTCAGGTCCGTCAAACAGGGCATCGTCCGAAGGTAAAGGAGCCACGGAGGTTGAGTGTACTCAGAAAAGCAGCCAGAGGGTTGCACGAATACGTCATCAGCAGCACAGGGCTAGCACTGGTGGACAGGGTCCAGAGATGGAGCCTAACAGTACCACACAAGACAAGAGGAAAATGGACATGGAGTCAGCATCACAAGGATACGGCGGGAATCGGACCGGAACTCATCCCTCCTGGGAAGTGCGAGGACCCCAGCCTCGGCCAGATGAAGAACCACACAAGGCTTACAACTCTTTGGGTGCTGCTTCCCAGACTTCACGTGTGGACCAAGGGCCTCTTCCCCCTCTAACAGCCCCGCAGGAGGCCACACTGGGCCCTCAGGGACCTGAAAGCAATGCCATGAGGAATCTGATGAAGTACAGTAGCCAGCAACCACTGCTGTTCACTCAGAAGAGCCCATTTGGTGGTCTGGGCTGCCTCAAGCAGGGAGCAGTAGCTGGGGAGAGAAGTGAGAGGAACGAAAGAAGCGACAAAAGTGGAAATGGTTCGAGCTGTGCTCTCCAGGAGGGAAAGCAGACCCTGCCCCCCAGGAGAGCCTCGTCATCTGGGGAGAACGAGCGCTCAGAGCGGGTGGGCAAGGACTCAGGCGAAGCTCAGGGGGAGGGAGAGGTGCGACAGCCCCCTGTAGGGATAGCAGTGGCCGTTGCCAGGCAGAGAGAGCCCCCGTGCCGCCTGCCAGACGGGCATCCCACCCACAGCCACCATAGCAGAGTGATGCCCAGCATGAAGGGTAAGCGACTCCCAATGGGAGGTCTGGTGTGTGTGTGTGTGTGTGTGTGTGTGTGTGTGTGTGTGTGTGTGTGTGTGTGTGTGTGTGTGTACAAGTGTGTATTCTAACAAGCTATATATAATTTTTCAGTTTACTGGATGTACTTGATGAACTTTTGGAAACTTCATATGTAAAAATATAACTTGTGATTAAGGGAATGGGCACAAATAGACGTTTTCGGTTGTTAATCTAAATCACTTGTCAGCTAGTGATATTTTGTTGGAGTAACCTTGCCAGATTGAGTGTCTTAGGTGTTACATTGACTGCCAAATTGCTCTTATATCTTCATTAAACCACAGTGTACAATATTTTCTCTCTCTCTCTCAAAAAAAAAGAAAAAACATGCCAAGATTGTGCAAATGTAGGATGACAATTAGCAGTTTAAATCACTATGGCTATCGTCCAGTGGATATTGTCTAGTTATAACACATTGACTGTTTTAGATACCTGTAAATGCTGCTTTTTCAGGCAGGGCACAGTGATAGAGAGACAGCAGGATGTTTTATAAATGTGCCTTTGGTTCCTGTGATAACTTTCTATGGTGTGGAATTTAAATGGTATCTTAAGAAAAATAACAAAAAATTGTGAAAAATGTTCATTTATAAAAACTGTTTTCACATCACATACAGTGCATCAAAATATAATCTGATCAAATCTGCAGTGAGATGGGTAGTTCCCATTTTTAGACACTGAGTTTTGTCATGGAGTGACCATACAAAATAGTGGTGGTTGTCCAGATTGTGGTCCTGACCTGTTCTCTGTTAGGTATTGGACACCCAATGTACCCGCTGGAGCGGGAGATGGATGAAGAGAGGAAAAGAGTTTGTGAGGAACAGCTTGGACTGTCTCCATTTGACAGAGAGAGAGAACTCCTCCTCAGGTATGGCTGTTAGTTTCCAGTTGAATTCATGTTTTTTTCCACAGTCAGTTGTTTCTATGAAAAAAGTCCAACTTTAGGATACTGCACTGTAGTTTTATTGCCTTGGAGAGTAACACTGTGCCATTCTGATGGCCTTCCCTCAGGGAAAACAAAGACAGAGTTGAGTTTGCCAGAATCCACCCCTCCAGTAGTTGCCATGGAGATTTGACCTCACACCTTATTGTGCCAGGCGGTAGCCAATTAGGCACTGAGCCATCTGCTCACGCCCACCCCACCCATCATCACTGGATGCCTCGGACAGGAAGTCCCTCCCTTTGGATGGGACACTCTTATGGTAAGCAAATGCCAAATTGTTTTGCTAATTTGATGGTGTTAGATTACAGTGTACTTTGAGTTTCTGCATGTATATTTTAATTAGAAGTAGTTTAATTAATAATCAATGAAGTGGTCATTAGTATTGAAACATAACTCAAAATCTTAATGTCTCTGTTCAGGTCTCAGTCATGCAGCATTGCACCAGAACTTGACCCCAGGCTTCTCTACAACCATGCCAAGCCCCTTGCAGCCAGTCTTGCCCCTGCCTCAGGACCCCTCCGCCGCCCTGGTGGTATTGCCTACAGAGCCAGTGGCCCACCCTGCCACCCATCACCTTGGTAAAAAATGACTTGTATTGTAAAATTGCATTTTGCCCCACACAATGGTGAAATAGAAATTCTTTATGTGGGTGAACTTTACTTTTAACAGCCAGACAGTAACATCAATTGAATCCATATCCGTTGGTTCGGTTTCAAAATTCAACACTAAATTCCTTCCTCTTGGGTCCAATGTCCCATCCCCCACTGCACGGTTTCATCTCATCCCCTTCTGCCCCTGTATCATTCTGTAATCATTATTGTGAAACGCTTCACTAAGCCAAGCAGGCATTTACAGCACATTGTAGTATGGACTTAATGGGAACAGTTTCACAAGCGGCCCTAATGCACACTCTGAATGCGCAAAGTGGAATTATTCAAACTGTTTAAACAAATTATCATTTCAAGTAGATAGCTTGCGTATTTGACTTTGAGTGTGTGTGGGGGTGAGGGGGGCGCATGCATAGATAAGCATGCGCGAGTGAGAGAAAAATGGAGATCTAAAGTCACTGTGTGGGTGTACGTTTCAGGGTCTGTTGGTTTAGATTAAATTTGTATGAATACGTTAGTGTTCGCACAGCAGCAGCATTGGCCCAGGTGGGCTTTTAGGAGTTTGTCTCTTTTGCGTCAACGTGGAAGGTGAAGGGGTGCTGGGGAAAAATAACAATTTAGGGATGAAAAGGTTTTGTTCTCTTTTATTCGTTTTGCGCAGATCTTTTTTTTTTTACTTTTCAATAACTACCTGGTAAGGATGCACAATTTTCTGTTATTTACTTTTTTTACTTGGCCATTCTCTAATGCTCAAGGATTGTCTTTACAATTAGTAAATTAATAGTTATTTAATCTCTCAATTATTATTATTTTTTTGACATATACTTTAAGTATTAATGTACATTGTACTTTTTAAAATGATTGATTTTTGCTTTATCACCGTTTAGAGCAACTTACAGTAGGCAGTAAAGAGCCATCAATGCAAAGTGAGTTGTATCCCTATTCTACCTGTACATTGAGTTACTTTAAACTAAATGAATTTTTAAAATCAGCTCGTGATGGAGGTTGTGTCATTCTCTGGTGTGCCATGCTGCCTGAGAAAGGTTAGGATGTGGTATGCTTAGCATCCCTTTAATGGTTTTAAACTCTATTGCACTGTGCCTTGTCATGCCACGCTGTGGCCGGCTGTGCTAACGTGTCTGCACAGTTCTGGGATTTGTGCTTTGATTTGTTGTGCATCTCTGTATGACTTTCCACCCTATTATACTGTGCCTTGCTGTGCAGTGCATCATTGTGTGGCTTTTTGCTGTATTGTGCTGTGCTCCGCTGTCCTGTGCTGCATGCCTCTGTACGGCATTCCTCCTCCCCACACTGGCTGTGAAATTTAATTAGCTCTCTGCTCCTTAGCGTCACACTCCCCTTTCCGCAACAAAGAAGGGAAGTGCATCCATTGGATCCCTCCCTAGGGAAACATAACCCTGTCCCAGTAATCTTTCCCAAACAAAGGTCCTTGCCATACATCAGGGAAGGAGGGGCGGAGAATATGCAGCATGCAAAACCAAATGGCTGAAAGAAAAACATATTGTGTTGAAATTTCTGTGGGCTGAGGCTCAAGGCTGAGACTAAGTGCTTTGCACAGCTGCGCTTCATCCCTCTACACTCTCTCCCTCTTTCTCCCCCTGCCTTCGTCCTTCCCATCTGATCAGCTTGTTTCAGAAATGACCGACTCCTTTCAAATATCCTGCTCGCTTAGTGAATAAATGGCACAAAAGTGCATCTGAGATGCGCAGTCACACATAGGCAGACTTTCACTTGAAGCGAAATGTGTGGTCCACAATTCAGCACTTTTATGTTGGAGTAACTCACCTAAAGCAGTTAATTCTGGCATGATCTGGCATTTAAAAAAATTCCCTACTTTGTGTTCAAGAAAAGTATATTATAACAGTTCGAAAAACTATAATGTAAAGTAAATGATGACCAAATTGTCTTTTTTAAAACACTCCAGTCAAATTCCAATAACTTTCCTTAATTCTGTTATTCATGTTGCCCTAAACATCCAGAACATAAGTGCCCACTGATTCAAGCCAGTATCTTGTAAACTCAACTTTGTTTCCATTTATTTAGCATAAGCCAGTCATAATGTTGGCAATTTTAGTTTAACTCTTTTATATTGTGTTTTCAATCAGAGACATATTAGAAGTGAGTGAAAGACAAACCATAATACATTAATTTCACAATATTAAAGAAAAAAATATTAGACGGTAATTAAACACATTCCTTACTCTCTGAACCACACTCCAAGGAAAATAAAGAAAATAAACAAAAACAACAATAAAAAAGAAAAACCAAGCAAACAAACAAAAAACAATAACAAATAAGTAAAGTAAATAAAAAACTAAAAATAATAAAAATGACACATAAGTATACCTTTACTGCTAAATGTCAGATATCAGACAATTTCTTTTTCTAATGCACTCTTAGACAAGTTTTTATCATTCAAAAGCAAGAAAAAAGACGGATACAGACAGGGTTAGATATGTAAGACGAGTTACATTAAATAAATAAGGCAATTTTTAAAAAATACAACAGAAAAGGTTAACAAACTGTATAGAAATCTTCTGTTTGGCCATTATTGTATATCTAGTTTTCTCTATTTGAATAAACAGGTCAAACATCCAATGAAAGTAGCTGGGCAAAGAAGGCTTTTTCCAGTTCAGTAGTATAATTCTTTTCGCAATTATTAAGCAAACGCCTAATACACTTGACTGCAAAGATGTCAGCGATAAATTTGTAGGATTAAGTCCAAACAGTGCCACTAAAAGACATTGGTTCAACTTTTAGAAGAAAAACATTAGAGATTGATTTAAAAATTGACTTCCAATAAGAAATCAACTCTGGACAAAGCCAAAACGTATGATTAAGTTTAGCTGGATCTGGTCGGCATCTGTCACAAATAAGATCAATTTCTGGGTTTATTTTAGACAGTTTAACTTTTGTCCAATAAGTTATGTGTAATAGTTTACACTGTATCAGTAAATGACAAGCACAGGTAGAAGTAGTATGTACACGATGAAGAACTTTTAACCATTCTGGTTGGCATTTTTAGTTTGCTATTTGCATGCAGTATGTATCAGATGGCCTGTGGGCTCTACCAGGACAACAGGTGACCTTAAAGCTTCTGTGTCTGTCTCCCCTCCTCAAAAGTCTGTCCCTGGGTATAACATCTGTGCTCCTTTTTAAGGCCAACACCCATCACCTAACCCTTATTACAGGCTTAATAACCAAGCGCATGCTCTCGTGAATGAGTGAGCCATTTGGGAGTGGACCCCTCTTGGCCGTTCTCAGCAGGCTGTCAGGAAGGTCTTGTCAGGGGAGCCACATTCATGTGACAGTTTGAGACAGCAGCGCTGAATCGTCTTGACTGGCACTGCGGCTTTCATGAGCCAGAGATCAGGCTAGTGTAGCTGGTGAGCTCACTGGTGACCATCGTTTTGCGTTAATCCACTGAGGTATGGCCAGACGAGCTGTGAGTGCATGGGGCAGACGATGATAAAAGGAAGTTTGCATTCACTCTCTGCCCACGGGTTGAGTGCACAACATGATGAGGAAAGAGATGTGGAAATGTGAGGGTTTTTTACCCTTGGGACTGAGGATGACTTTTGCAAAGAAAAAAGAGAGTGAAAAAAGAGGGACGGAAAAGGGGTGGAATCTTATAGCCGTAAATCAATAGGCCTTCAGAGCGATAAGTGAGACTTGCCTTGAGGCGAAAGAAAAACCTTTGTTCATACTTTTCTCATTCCTGTATCTTTCTCTCTCTCGCTTTCTCTCTGTAGATGTAATGGAGCAGCAGGGACTGTGGCCCCCTGTTTACGGAGCCCGAGGGCCCACCTCACACATGCAGCATCCCGCAGTCTATTCCCGCTCCCAGTTTCTACGGCAACAGGAACTCTACGCGCTGCAGCAACATCAGCACCAGCAGCACCGTGCAGCACAGGCTATGGAGTTGGCGCACAGACACAGTCACTCACAGGTAACACATGGAGGAGGATTTGTACACACGGTTAGCCCTGCTTCCTCATACACCTCAAGGTGATTTCCCAGCAGCTATTTCTCTGCGTCTTTCAGCAGACCTACCCAGGACGCCCGAGGTTGCGAAAGGCCTGTTATTCCTGCTCTCAGAAATTCATAGCAGTTTTAGCCAAAAGAATGGCCAGCTTTCATTTTCAAAGTGCATTTTAATGTTGGACATTTTGAAAGAGTGGGATTCTTCTCAGGAACGGGGCCGGTTTCTGCTTTTATCTGACTTCTTTTGTACAAAGAAGCAGAGCAGAATGCAAGTGAACAGTGGATCATTAGCACCCATTGTACTGCATCCCTGGTGGATGTCCTTACGTAAGAAACCTGAGACGACTGAATCATAACTAGCTCCATGTTAAAGTCCATATTTATTGCATTTCAGTTGTGAAAACTAGGAATAATGTTGACATGCATAGTGCTTGACTTCACAATGTATGCTGGTAGTCTCTTAAATATCTTGTGTTTCTGCAGAGGAAACCTGAAGATCCCCCGATCGATCTGGTTGAGGGACCATCTGAACCCCACGCACCCAAACACACCAAGCCTTTTTCCGTTGGACCTTCCCCTAAACCTCCACCCTCCTCCTCATCCCCTGGGGGCTGTGCTTCTCGTCTTTCACCCTGCTGTCGCTCACCAGCCCCACGGTCCCACCTCAAGAGTACGCCCTGCACACCCTGCCCTGAACCCAGCCCGGCCGTGGCTGCCCCTCGCTCCCCAGCGCTCAGCCCCCATTCCACCCCCCACCACCTGCCAAAACCTGCTGAGTCCCAGGACAAGAGGGGTGAGGGCCAGCCACCACAGGACTACCCTCAATCACTGGAGCCTGGTGAGTTGGAAAATGACACCATTCATAAATGTTATTTAGGCCCAATCCCAATTATATTTTTGTACCTCTACTCAAAGGGAAGGACTTCAAAATTTAGCCCTAGAAATGGGACAGCACTGCAAGACCTGCACACGTCATCATATATCATCACGATCTCTTACTTCATATGAACTCGACAGTGGTGACTGCTCTAGTTATTCCAGTTGCATTATTTTTTGGTATTTATCTTCAGGAAATCACTGAAGGCATATATTATGTTATCATAAGTCTATTACTTTTTAAAGTCGGACTCATGATAGCTTGTGTTCTACATGAGTCCGACTATAAAATTTAATGGACTTGTTTATTTGGAGCAATAATTAATTCTTTAAAAAAGGGTGAAAAGAGTAAAGAATAAAGCCAGAATAGTGCTTTCATCTAGCTCGCTTCCTATCCCAATGCCCTCGTATTTGCGTCAGGATAAAAAACAGCGACTAGAGGAAAGAGGCTGGAACATTTCATTTCATTCTCAAGGTTAGGGTCTTGCCATCGCGTCTAGCTCCACAAACCCCTGGGGGAGAGGGAGTGAAGTGAAGGAGAGAAGGAAAAAAAGAGGAGACGGCCGAATAGAAAAAGACCCTGACCACAGGGACAGTCAAAAGAAGAGAGAGATATTTTGTTGCAGATAAGATACACAGGGCCTTTTGAAGGACTTGTTGCCCTTTGATTACTGAAGACAATCATCCTGTTATGTGAATAGAAGTGCAAGCACTGACTTTTCACTTTGTATTTGTGTCTTTACACTATTGTATCCATTTGTGACACATTTGAATGTGCAAGAAAGCACAGATGCTGTGGGGAGTGGCCCGCCATACAAGGTAGGTGCGATAGAGACAGACAGGAAACAGTAGGGAGGTCAGCGAGACAGCAGACAGGGCCTCTCTTATCCTTCAGAGGTCCTTGAGTGCTGGCTGGCGGAGGGATACGCATTCATCTGGCGGATGGATACCATCAATAACACAATGCTGAGGTGACAGGACTGGCTGTGCAATCACACCAAGACACCATGCTGTCATCAATATACCGAGCAACACTGTAGATCTCATATACACTCACACGTACTTGCTCTTTCATTCACGCAATGTTCCCTGTCCAATTGTTTGCACTCGTGTGCCAGACGAGACAAATACACACTTTCACTTAAAGACTAATTTATACACAAACATTCCTCCATGCACTCTTTCTCTCTCACACACACTGCATCCATAACAACTTGAACATAATTCAATATTCATGGAAAATTCGCTCATGCCTGTGCCATAGCCTTTATGGCGCCGGCTCCATTATGAGTGTGAGTTATACTAGATAAACGGAGCGAATGGTACACACTGTCGCTAATGCTTCTGTATACAGCATATATATCACCCTTCTCTGCACTTCAGCGGCAGGGGGCCGTGCCCCTTAACTGACAAGGTCATATTGTGATGTGTATTACAAATGAATGGTAATGGCTTGCTGGTTCGCTGTGCGCTGAAGTGTGTTTCAGGAGCAGTTAAATCTTTATGCTTGTAATAGAGTGACTTCAAACAAGGTTGAGGAGCCCAAACCAACATCAATGTTTATGGAAACACTCAATCAGTTTTATTCTCATTTTTGTCTTGTAGATCTCCCTCCTGGCTACACTTACCCTGCCATTGCCATGGGTTACAAGGGTGGACCCTCCCCTCAAGAAGTCCAATTGGCTGAGCATGCAGACTTGGAGGCGGAGCAAGCAGAACCTGCTGAACCTGCACCCCGGCCACACCCACTTTCACCCAAAGGGGAGGAGCCTGTGTGCCACACTGGAGTCGGCTCTCCCATTAGAATATCCAAGGAAATAGAGGATGTAGAGGAGGAGGGTGGAGTGATAGAAGAAGATGGACAGGTGGATGAAGGGCAGGTGGATGCCACTCTTTCCCAAACTTCTCTTTGCCCCACCTCTGACACCTCTGTCGCAGAGCCGTTTTCAGACAAAGCAACCGCGATACCCAACAGCCAAACATGTGGAATAGTTAGCCCAGCACCAGCTGAAGAAAACAATGAGCGGGATATGGACCTACAAGTTCCCATGATAGCTCCCTTGACCACCACACAGAATTTACAGTCTGTGGAGCCTACCAAACATGACCTAGACAGGACTGTTGAGGATGGGTGCACACCTCCCACTAACTCATCCACTCCACCTTTGTCCCCCTGCCCTGTGCCCTCTGATCTGGGGAATCAGTACCCTGGGAGCTGCATATGGAGTTTGGAGCTGCTCATCGCAGCAGCACTATGTGCTACACGAGATGCACGCATGGCAATGTCTGTACCAGTGTCGGGGAATGCAGTGGCACCTAATTATGGCATAGAATTACTGAGTGAACTGGCAGAGTTGGAACAATCCCAACAGCAGAGGAACAACACAGGAGAGAACGGTAAGGACAAGCATACACGTGCACACAGTACTGAGATTATCAGAATTGTGAATATGGACTGTTCATTGTTCAATTCTTAATTGTTACTCGTTTTTTAATCTCTATGCAAGTGTACAATGATTTTCCAGATTTTGTAACTGATATAGGATAATAATGAGGTTCATATTGTGCAAAAAGGTTAATGAAAGGGTTAAGTTGCCCTGTACTGTATATTTTTGTTTGCACATTTATTAATGTTCTAGCTGATCAAAAGTGGCAGGGTTATGGTTACATGCATCTTGTTTCCTTTCTTATTGTTATTTGGATTGGATGGTGGCAGAACTGAATGCAAGTTATTTGAAAGTGGCAGGTTTTAAGCCCATCACATGTTAGAGACATTATTTGCGATCCTCCAATTTATTTATTTTAAATCTTTTAGGGAGCCTTGAAGGTGCAGTATGTTTTCTGCCATAATGCTTACCGTTTAGCATAATAGATTTGAAAACACAGTCCCTCCCCTGCTGTCCAAAACCATGCCTCCTGACATCACGAATGTGCACTTTATGAGCCATCCTTCCTCTCTACCTCTGAAAATGCACATCACGTGATAACACAGACACAGACGCACACACAGCCATGCGCTCGAGACAGCAGGTCCAGGCAGTCAGAGGACTGCTTCAATCTTTCACTCACTTGTACTTAGTCATTTTAGCGAACACCTCAGATACTGTTGACTGGTTCCTGTTGGTTGTGCGTCTTTTTTACCGACGCCAATATAACGACACAGATCACTGCCTATTCACGAGTCCCGCAGACAAAAGTGATTGACAGGTAGTAATTATGTGTGTATCTTGCCTTTATTCATTTACTGTATGATTTGTTTATGGGTAAAACAAAGACCATGCAGGTCAGGTAGTTTAAACGGTAGGCTACAAATAATTAATTGGTCATTAATGAATTAATTATTCATAATCGAAAATCGAATCAAATCATGACTTTAGAATCGAAAATGTAATCGAATCGAGGATTTGGAGGATCGTGACACCCTTAGTAGCAAGCAAAACTTGTCATGATGTGCAATATTTCATGCATGCAAGGATCACTGGTCTTACTCTCTCACATGCTTTGTCCTAAAGGGACTATGGTGCTTGGCCAGTAAACTGCAGGAATTACACTTATTACAAAGCCATACTTACAAGATATTTCAGACCGAATATTCAGAGTAGCATTGTGAACAATATAGGGAGCGCGTTACAGTTATTGTTAAAAAATGAACCAATGTCAATATAAAACCAACTTCAGCTCAGTAAAGCAAGCTAGGCGGAATAGCGCTATTCACTGATGTTCTGTTGTTAAACTAAAGGAAAATCTACATTATTAATGCTGTAAAAGGTCCCTTATGAAATTGAAAATAGTCACATCGACCATTCGACGGAAGATTTCAGTGGCTGAACAACACTACTGTACATAAAACCCATTCGTAAAACAACAAAATCTGCCGAAAGCAAACAGCAGATCTACATCAACGGGTGCGCACATGTACAAATCTACATTTGTTGACAGACAGTTTGGGCTACATATCAGAATCATGGGAATCGTTACACATTTTAATTGGATGATCTTTTTTAGTCGTATGCCTTACCCAAAATATGAAAATGCATGTAAATACATTTAGATCATTTGCTTCGATCAGTGCTAGTGGAATGTAAAGAGAATTTTAACCAGCGCAACAAAAAATGTTTCTGAAGACAATCACCTTCTGCACCTTTAATTGTTTCCCAATTTCATTTAGTTTCATCCTTCCCAACATGCACCTCATCAACTCCCACAGGTTCAGAAGGCTGTCCATCCTGTAGCATTTCCAGCACCAACAGGTTTACAAAAGGTAGTTAAAAAGGGCCAGAGATATGGCCATTCTGTTCTTTCACAATCGAAAGCACAGCCAATCATACACAATTTAATTCCTCATCAGTGATTTGCATGAGCGGTCTTGTAGCTCTGTGATACAGGCAACAGGGGAAGACTGTGACGGAGGCTTTCATTTTTTTTTTCCAGCATGAAAAGAGGTGCAAAAAATAGGGTTTTCAGTCCAACCAGATCTCCAGGCTTTGTGTGAAGGAAAGATAACAAAGCTCCCCCACCACCTCCCCAATACCGCCATCCTGACAATGTGTGCAGACACACACCGAAATACACACAAACGCTAACTCTCAGCTGACCGTCCAGCTTTCCACTTTCATTGGAACACACGCACACACACACTCTCACTCGACTGTGTGCTAGCTTGTGCTTCTGCCTTCTTTTCCTGCCTACAGATCAAATGCTTCTCGGCCTTTTGGGGCTCAGCACTTCCTGTGGGAGAGACTAAGATGGAGCACTGAGGAGGGGGCTGTGTTTTTAAAGGGCTTTAGCCTGTCTTAAAAGGCAGCTCTAATGATAGCTAGTTCCCCCCGGGTCTGCCGTATTGGACTGTGTCCACTCACTCTTCCTGAGGGACGGCTCCCCTGCCCCTGCTCCTCAAACCTGTTTGATCACTTTTATAAGCCTCATTTTAGATGGAAAAAAGCCCCAGCGCTTTCCCACAGCTCTCAGAGTCCCTCAGTGCGAAGTTGATGAAATAGTAAAAACAGCTGATCTTTTTCCTCTCAGGACGACAGTGTTTTTGTCGGCTAATTAGGCCCCATTGTTGTGAGTGCTGTTGTAAAGGCTTGTTGCTTTTCCAGGGACCGTTTAGGGTCTCCCTGCCAAAGGATGTTTTTATTTACGCCAGCATTCTCTAGCAGCTGAGAAATCCCCAACACTCGCACTGCACAGGAAAAAAAAAGTCCAACCGCATTTGGCGCTGTGCGTCCTTTTAACTGTATGCGTGTGTGAGTGTGCGCATTTTCCACCCATATTATTATAGGGATGTAATCTGCTGTGTAATTCTTGTCTAAGCAAGCTGCACTAAAGGGACTAATAAGAGAATATGATGAAGCTCTTTGCAGCGGGGGAGAAGTCATCAATAAACACACCCGCCGTTGAATTATTAAAGAACTGGAGGTGAGGTGGCCACGCGGGCTGTCAGGGCCCGGTCTCTCGCCAGCTAAAGATTTCATATGTGATTGGGTTTACTCTTCAGTGATTTACAGATTTGATTTCAAGCATCCTTATCTATGGCAGACGTCTCGGGTGCTCTGCTAACATTCCTTGCGGTGTTCTGGGCATTGTGAAGTACGGACAAATAACGTGATAAAATTATATAGATTTTGAGAGGTTCTTTGAAGTATTGTTGGTAGTTGTTATTGATTGGTCAGTGAAACCACTGTTACCGCTCTTTTTTTCCTCAGATGTCTCTTAAATGCTCTCAGAGAGCGTTATCTCTCTTCTCTCCTTCCCTCTCTCATTTTCATTTCTTTTTTAAGCCTCAGCTTTCCATCCCTCTTGCACGTCTTGTTTTCATTTTATCACTCTATCCATGTTGCCGTTCCATGGCTCCAGTCCCCACCGCTCTCATTACAGCAGGGGCGATGGGCATCGATTTCAAAAAGACCACCACAGGGCTAAAAGTGGCACAATGATTTCAGCCAGGTGGGAAACTGAAGACCCTCCCAGACCACCATAATCCAGTCTTGCTCAGCTTTCTTTCTTTCTTTTTTTTTCGTTTTCTTCACTTTTCTTACTCACTTTCTGTTTCAGTTGAGAGATTTTCTTCATGCAGTTATAATTCCTTTTAAAGCAGGTACAACCTGTCATTCACATCCCCCACCCTTTTTTAAGCATATGTCCAGGCCACATATTTAGCCTCATAATTATTTGAAGAAATCAAGCCTATTTTAGAATTTATTTTATTCATAATATTTTTTAATAAAATAATATTTATAATTAAAGATCATCTATGATGTAAATCATCTTTTGTAAGCTGTTTGGACAGAACTGTGTGTAGGTAAAGTGTGTCCACATTTATATTGGAGTGATGTGTGATGAGTAGAAGTGTGGTTTCTCCACCCACCGAATTGATTGTCAGTCGCATATTAACATGTCTCTGTAGTAATGCGTATAATCATATCAACAAGACAGGACATGCGCAAAGCAATCAGGATTAAAAGATCTGTTCAGCGATCTGTGATCATCAATCATCATCAAATGTGATCAAGACTGAATTTTACAAGTTTAAAACTATTCAAATTACATCGATTTCATCTTTACTTCATTACAACAGCCGTGTGTAAGTACAATTATAAAAGAAGACGATTTAATCCCGGATTGTGGGCGTTAAATCAGATTTATTTTGTACATTAACATAAAGGATGTCAATACAGCAGTGGATAGTGTGTGTGTGTCTGTGTTTGTGTGCATGAACTTTGTAATGACATTGTGTGTGACTTATCGAAAGACTTGAATTAACTCCACAACAAATACATCAAATAATCATTGGGAAAGTTCTTACTCTAGTATTTCTCACAATTGTTATATAAGATCTGCTTCCTTCATTTCTGTCACTGTGCTGTTTATCTGACGATGCCGTAGATTTAGGCACACTCAGACAGGCACGTAGAAACAGTGGGTGTGGAGAACTAGCATTAAAGGCACAGGCAATAAAAACAGCTACAGGATGCTGAGAGCTGAAAATTGCAATATTCTAAAGGTATAGTAAATAATCTGATGGGTGTTTTGAGCTAAAACTTTACAGACCCATTCTGGAGACACAAAAGGCTTAACTTAAATGTTGAAAAAGGAGTAAAATAGGTGTAGGAGTAAATTCTCCATCACATTTGATTGTAAATTTATTGTCATTGTCAAAATTAACAACGAGATATTGTTGAACTACATAGCAATGGTAATAAAGTCATGCAGCCCAAAAAAGTGCTTAAAAAGGTCCAATCGCTATTATTTTTTTGTGGTAGGATTATATATATATGAAATGTGTGTAGATATGGACAGAATGTGGGAAATGGTCTGTTTAGCAGCTTCATTTCCTCTGGATATTCAGTAATTGAAGTATTTAATTAATATTAATGGAAATTAAAAATAGTTGACATACAGTGCTCAGCATATATAAGTACGTCCCTCACAAATCTCTCTTTTAAATTCATATTTGCAACAGGAAGCTATACAATATTATATTTGTGCAAATACATTAGATCAGTCAGAACTGAAGCCAAATCTGGAGCTTATCTTACAAAATTACTTACGATAACGGTCCAAAAACTAGTACAGCCACATTTATATGTTATAGACAAAATATTAAAAAATTAAAAAGAGGAAAAATCAAGAGAAGCAAAAAATGGAAAAACTGAGTTGAAATTTTGTAGGTTGTAAATTTTTTTTTCAATATTTTGATTAAATTTAATTGTATTATCTTTCAATTTCTAAGTAGGTTTGGTGACTAAAATATGATTTTAATAAATATATCTGTTTAATAAATCTATTTTGTTAAATGCACCAAAATACATTGCCTAAATTCACGGAGAAATGGATTCAAGTATAAATTTTCAACATGGAGTGTACTCAATTATCCTGAGCACTGTATGTACAGTTAAAGTCAGAATTATTAGCCTCCCTTTGATTTTTTTTTTTCTTTTTTCATTATTTCCCAAATGATGGTTAACAGATTCAGGAAATTTTCACAGTGTGTCTGATAATGTTTTGTCTTCTGGAGAAAATCTTTTTTGTTTTATTTTGACTAGAATAAAAGCAGTTTTTAATTTTTAAATACCATTTTATGGACAAAATTATTAGCCCCTTTAGGCAATTTATTTTTCAATAGTCTACAGAACAAACCAGTTATACAATAACTTGCCTAATTACCCTAACCTGGCTAGTAAACCTAAGTAACCTAGTTAAGCCTTTAAATGTCACTTTAAGCTGTATAGAAGTGTCTTGAAAAATATCTAGTCAAGTATTCTGTACTGCCACCGTGGCAAGGATAAAATAAATCAGTTATTAGAAATGAGTTATTAATAAAATTATATATATATATATATATATATATATATATATATATATATATATATATATATATATATATATATATATATATATATGTGTGTGTGTGTGTGTGTGTGTGTGTGTGTGTGTGTGTGTGTGTATACACTTAAACTATAGCACATATATACAGCAATTTTTATGTCATCGTTTATAATGAGAATTACCTTTGAGAGTAATGCGGAGAAGTATATAGCAAAATGTTAGAGCAAAAGGAAACTCTTACTTTGTTCGCACAAGTCATTTTTGTAGATGTGCTAGACGGGTGCCTCCGACTGTTACATCTTGCTGTGTTTTCAGCTTTTCGTGATATAAGCGCTTTGTGTTAAAGTTAAAAGTAATTTAAAACCTATAATGATCCCCAAAATAGGCTTTATTAAAAAAATATGTATATATATATATATATATATATATATATATATATATATATATATATATATATATATGATAATTTATCCTTTTAAATTTGTGGTGAATGAGATCTGACATTTTTTTCTAAGATTCATCATTTTCTCCCTCCTCTTCCCCTGTCCTCTCTTTGGGTTTTGATCTCCTGCTCTCTGGCCTCTGCGCGCAGGTCTGCTCGTGCACCGCGCTATCCCCTTGGAGGAGAAAATTGGATTCTTTCCATGTTAGTAATGAGGGGATGTTTGCGAATAAATAGATAGCTCAATAAACACTTTACTTCTTATTGCCTCTCTCCCCTCCCTGCCTCCCATTTTCCCCTCTATTCAGTCTCTCTACTCGCCGATCGCATACTGTGCCCCTGCCTTGCCATGACGCAACAAAATAGCGAGCCACGGCCGCCCGCTAACACAGACACAGACACTCACACATACACACTCATGCAGTCTTCTCAGTATCCCCAGGCCAGCTCTGGCTGTCATGAATATTCAAGCCTCATTGGCTGAGTGGAGACTGAGCATGTGGCCTGCCCTAATGACAGTGATAAATGTTGAGAATTCGCCCTTCTTCATCTCTCCCTCTCCCTCGCTCTCTCTCTTTCTCTCTGTAACATGGCTCCTGGCATCTAAGCCTCATGTACAGAGATAAGCTCTCTGGTTAATAGCTATCATCATTGCTCATTCAGCCTCTGAAAGCACAAAGTGCTGTCAGGAAACAGCGGCGTGCTTAGAGGCGGCTTTGTACCGTTTGAGGCTTTCCTCTTTCTCTCTCTCTCTCTGTCTCTCTCTCTCTTTCTTCCACTCTCCTTTTTTTTTGCGCCTTTACAGGTTTTTCCGCTCGCATCTTCTGGGACAGACTGGATGTCTGTTTTGCTAGGTCACTTTTGAATATACATGGAGAGACACAGGCCTCTGTTTGCATCTGTTAATAACATCTGTCTCTGGTGATTCCTGCTAAATGCACACAAAACATATTTGAAAATGGTCAGAAAAACATGATCACATCCTGTTGTAGCTCAGACAACAATAATATTCACATACTACCCAGAGTATACCCAATATGCAAATTTGGCCACAGCAGAATGAACCAACAAGTTATCCAGCATATGTTTTATGCAGTGGATGCCCTTCCAGCTGCAACCCATTACTGGGAAACACCCATGCACTCTCATTCACACACATACGATTCAGCCTATTTATTCAATTCACCTAAAGCGCATGTCTTTGGACTGTGGGGGAAATCGGAGCACCCGGAGGAAACCCATGCTAAAACGGAGAAAACATGCAAGAAACACCACACAGAAACGCTGACTGACCCAGCCGGGGCTTGAACCAGCAACCTTCTTTCTGTGAGGTGACAGTGCTAACAAAAGAGCCACCATGTCACCCTTTATATAATTTATATATACATATATTTAGTTCATTGAGATGCGGTTATAATTTACTTCTGTTTTTTCTTCTGCAGAAGACAAAAGAAAACAAAATTCTGAAATCTCTTTTCCAAAAAAAATCATATTGTGTACTGCAGTACAAAGAAAGTCACAATTTTGGAATAACAGAAATATACTGTTTGTATATAATGATTGAAAATTCGTTTTTGAGTGATTATCGCTTTAATAATTGCACCTTGGAGTTTGTGCTTTGTTTTGAAATCAACTTCAGATCTGCTTTAAATCTCATTAAACACATCTGCACCAGTTAATCAGGATCTTGAGGATTATTAGAAACTCCCAGGGTTGCTTGTTGGAGCCAAATTCTGCAGGAAGTTAGACTTTGAGGAACAGGATTGGACATCCTTGTCCAATCAGGATTGGATATCCTTAGACAGATATCTTCCTGTAACTTTTGCTTCTACTATTGTAATAGTGTATATGCAGATGTATGCAGAAAGACATGAAAATGTTATTATGAAAAAAAGTATTCTGGGTCAAACACTTCTCATGAACTGTATGTAGTTACAAAATCAATTCGTTTAAGGTCTGTTTTCTTCACTGCCTGATTGATATATGATATAAAGTGTGTCTCCGAATGTACAAGAATGCACTGCATTTAATTAAATTTCCCTCTCATATCTTTAAAATAAAAACATTTATTTACCCCAGTATTTTCAATAAAGCTTTAGCGCTAGCCTGCTGATCCTGATGGGCACATACATGTAAACGGCTTTTTTATCTCGTTTAACGCTTGAACAGCCAAATCAATGCTAAAATCTGTTTAACTGATTACATTTTACATTACAACATGGATGCTGTAAAAGGAACAGGAACAGGAATAGGAACCGTAATAAATAGAAAAAAGTCACAATAACCATTCACTGGAAGTTTATTGGTATGGGAAGAAACACTAGCTGTGCATATACCTTATGCAAGAGGAGATGATGTGATGTATCTTTTATTGTCTTAATTTCTTCTTATTCTGTGCAGATGACGACATGTTGACCTTTGATCTCCAAAGTTTGGCAACCTTAGCTGCCGCCCGGGCCTTGGAGCTGGCTCCGCCTATACCAGCAGACTCAACCCCACCTCTTCGCAGAATACTCAATCTGCGCAAGAAATGCAAGTGGACGCCTCGCTCTGAACCGGTATACTTAGCTCATTTTCATTTATACTGTATATGTAGCCATGCCTGTTCAGTGCACATGGAAAGGATTCATAGGGCTTCACTTTTTCCACATTTTTTTTATGTTACAGCCTTATTCCAAAATGGATTAATTTCATTTATTTCCTCAAAATTCTACACACAATAACCCATAATGACAAAGTGAAAAAAAAAGTTTTTAAAATTGTTGCAAATTTATAAAAAGAAAAAGAAAAAAAAGAAAAATCACATGTACGTAAGTATTCACAGCCTTTGCTCAAAACGTTAATGATGCACCTTTGGCATCATAACTACAGCCTCAAGTCTTTTTAAATATGATGCCACAGGCTTGGCACACCTGTCTTTGGGAATTTTTGCCCATTCCTCTTTGCAGTACCTCTCAAGCTCTATCAGGTTGGATGACAAGCGACGGTGTACAGCCATTTTCAGATCTCTCCAGAGATGTTCAATAGGATTTAGGTCTGGGCTCTGGCTGGGCAACTCAAGGACATTCACCGAGTTGTTGTGAAGCCGCTCCATTAAGATTTTGGCAGTGTGCTTTGGGTCATTGTCCTGCTGGTAAATGAACCGTCGCCCCAGTCTGAGGTTAAGAGCACTCTAATGCAAGTTTTTATTCAGGATGTCTCATTCATGCATTGCTGCATTCATTTTTCCCTCTATCCTGACTAGTCTTCCAGTTCCTGCTGCTGAAAAACATCCCCACAGCATGATGCTGCCACCACCACGCTACACTGTAGGGATGATATTAGCCTGGTGATGAGTGGTGCCTGTTTTTTTTCCAAACGAAACGCCTGGCATTCAAGTTAATATTTAAGAATTTTGTTTCTTATGGTCTGAGACTCCTTCAGATGCTTTTGGCAAATTCCAGGTGGGGAGGGGCTTCCATCTGGCCACTCTACCATACAGGCCTGATTGGTGGATTGCTGCACAGATAGTTGTCCTTCAGTAAAGTTCATCCCTCTCTCCCCTCTTTTTTAGGTTTTTTATTTTTAATAAATTTGCAACAATTTAAATAAATATTTTTTTTACATTGTCATTATGGGCGATATTGTGTGTAGAATTTTGAGGAAATAAATTTATTTAATTCAATTTGGAATAAAGCTGTAACATAAATATTTTGCTCAAAATACATGATGTCAATTTAAAGCTCCAGGTTTAACTGAAATAAAACCAAATTGTACTATGACTTGGCAAAACACAAACACAGCAACTTATGATCCAGTGTTTTCAGTGTTTCAATAAGCAGTAAATGCAGCAGTACAAAGACCATAATTAGATATGGGATTGATCAATTCGCTTGTTTCACTGTAAACTGTGCAAAACCATTTATTCACTTTTAAAAAGTATAAATTTAGCAATATTTTAGTGTAAAAGGGAAAATTTTTTACTGTAACATTTTTTTACACCGTATTAATCAGTAAAAAAATACTATTGGTGTTGTTCAGACATTTTCAGAAAGCAAATAAATGCTTTCAGTGTATGGAAAAGAGTATTGTGAACATTATTTAACATATCTCCGACTGTGCTCTTCAATAAAAAAAGCAGATCAGCCAGAATGACACAGTGCTGACAGGCATTTAGACGCTGTTAGCTGAGATTATTTGTTCCATGTGTAGGTGTGTCCTGTTAAGGCTACCATGGAAACGCTGGACCAGGAGGAGCTAGCGATGCGTGTGCGGCTGGCAGAACTGCAGCGGCGCTACAAGGAAAAACAGAGGGAGCTGGCCAAGCTACAGAGAAAACATGACCACCAGTGAGCAAACCGCAGACCACTTTCACAAATACACACCCTCCACATAGAAATGCACTCTGCACACCTTTCAAAAGCCTTTTGCGCACATGCATGGATAGATCGAACTCTCTCTTCGATCTTTTAGCACGCACACACTCTCAGTCTTTCTCTAGTCCCCTCGCAACGCTCTGCTGAGACCACCCAGTGTGTGCTGAGCCCTCTTTGCATAAGCCTGAGCTGTGCTTAAGTCTTTCCTCTAGTCCACTCTAACAATTAAGATGGCTTAGTGTTTCGTTCCATTCAACATCATTAGTGTGAATTAGAGTGATTGACAGGCTGTGTGTGTGTGCGTGTTTGTGTGTTTACAGGAAAGAAGAGACCGCACGCAGTCCAGCTCGTCGAGGACCTGGAAGGCCACGCAAGCGCAAGTCCACATCGGCACCCCCTATACCCACCGATGCCCCTAAAAAAGTCAAGTGAGTGTTTCCTTTTGAACTTGTTTCTGCATGCTTCCTATATCCATGTATTTGTGAGGGATACATCGCATTGAATGAAGTACAACTGACTTTCCTCAGTAGAAATGTGTTTTATATTGTGTTTTCATTCAATTTAATGAGAACTTCATCTACCCTACATTATTTGTGAACCTTCAGACTTGGGATTGTTCAGGTGGCAGATTAAATTAATACTAATTTTAGACTTACATTAACAGTGCTATCCTTACACTTAGGGCTGGACGATATGGCAAAAATGCAATCTCGATAATTATTTTCATTATTAAACAATAACGACATATATTTCAATATAAGTTGTTAATGCTTCCAGATTTAAAAGAGGATCCCAAAAATGACTGAAGCCACAAAAATTAGAGGGTCCATTAAATGGCTTAACATATTTTCGGATGATAAATTTTTGGTGGACACAAATTCGAAAATCTCTAATATCAACACACTTTTAAATTTCCATTGTTGCACATTTCTGCTGTGTGATTGGCTTGTAGATCAATATAAAAGAAAAACAAGTCCAGAGCTTATTATAGTCATTGACATAAATTTTATTGCGATCCGATATAATATAGTTTATTGGCCTAGCCCTACTTACACTTCAAAGTGCGCAAACTAAAATTATCAATTTAGCATTTTAGCAAAATTATTGTTGCAAAAACTGATCACAAGTCATGATGTTTTTGGCATCTCAGTTTACTGTTAGTGCTGCCATACAATATCTGCTAGTGGGTCTGGGTTTGTCGATTTACGTTCTTTCACTGTAAATGTGCACTTGCTTGTATTTTTTATTTATTAATTTATTTTCCTTTGGCTTAGTCCCTTTCGCCAACTTATCCGGCATATATTTTACTGTACACAGCGAATGCTCTTCCAGCTGCAACTCTTCACTGGGAAAAATCCATGCACTCTAATTCACACACGTATAGTATGGTTAATTTAGTTTTTTTAATTCACCTGTACCACATGTCTTTGGACTGTGGGGGAAATCTGGAGCACCCAGAGGTAGAACACGGGTAGAACATGCAAACTCCACACAGAAACACCAACTGGGACTCGAATCAGTGACATCTTGCTGTGAGGTGACAATGCTAACCATTGAGTCACCGTGTCACCCCCTTAACTGTATTCAATCATTTATTAATAAATAAATAGATTATGAAGTAAATCTCCAAGACTGCTAAATGATGTTGGCAAAAACTAAAAGGTTTTTCCATTGTGTTTTTAAAAAGTTTGCTGTATTGTATGCCAGGAGGCCAGTATATGGCACTATATTCATATCATATTTAAATGATGAGATTCTCATTTACAAGTGTTTACATGGATATGACAATGGCTTTGTTTTCAAAAACTTCCAATTTGAAACCTGTTTTTAAATTTGTGTGCTTTCAGCACAAAAATGGCTTTATCATATAAACTTGACGCACAAAAAGTTTCCAGTTTTTTGCTGAAAAAATTGGACAATACCTGACAAAAGTCTTGTCGCTTATCCAAGTTTTAGGAACAACAAATAATAACTTGACTTCTACTTGGTCATTTGGTATCAGAAGTGGCAGGCCCGTGCAGAGACCGTCCAAAGGGCATGTGCAGGAAAAATTTTTGGAAGAGCGGGGAGTCTGCAGGAGTGCTGCAGATCTGCAGAGTGGATGCGCGCTTATTGAAGAGCGGTGTTGTTGCGCGCGTACTGATCAGCTGTGTTGTCGCGCGCATACTCAAGAGCAGTGTTGTCGTGCGCCTACTGAAGGGCGGGACCGAAGTTGTGCCGCGTCGCGGGGGCACTTTTGATCATTTTGGAAGGGCACTTTCTATCCAAGACTAAAAAGGGCATGTGCACTGCACAGGTTGAGCCCTATGTGTGCACGTGCCTGAGAAGTGGGTTATATGAAAGGCAAAGGCCACTAGATTACGCTTATTTTTACTAAGATAAAAATATAATCATGTCTTGATATTTCATTAATTAGGACAGTAAGGTCTGACTTTGCTTCGACAAAAGTCTTGTCGCTTAACAGAAAAGATGTACAGTATAGAATATAAAGTCATGCTGCAGTGGAAAAAAAATTAATATTGTGCATGACTCCCATGAGCTTAGACGCATTAATAGCGTATTAATAGTCAACTGTAATGGCAAAGAAAGCATTCATGCAGGACCCCCAGAGTTCATCAAGATTCTTTGGGTTCATATTTAAGCCTTCTCCTTCATCTTACCCCAGATATGCTCTATAAGTTTCATGTCTGATGACTGGGCTGGCCAATCCTGGAGCACTGAAATCTCTCTTTTTGGCTGAACTATGAGAAGGAGTGCTATCCTGCTGAAGGATTTGCCCTTGTCTGTGGTTTGTAATGTAATGGGGAGCACAAATGTCTTGACACCTCAGGCTGTTGATGTTGCCATCCTCTCTGCAGATCTCTTGCACACCCTATACTGAATGTAACCCCAAACCATGATTTTTTTCTTCACCAAACTTGACTGTGTTCTGTGAGAATCTTGGGTCCATGCAGGTTCCAATAGGTCTTCTGCAGTATTTGTGATGATTGGGATGCAGTTCAACAGATGATTCATCAGAAAAATCTACCTTCTGTCACTTTTCCAAATGATCAACTAGAAGTAAAGTTATTATTTTTTATTATTTGCTGCTCTTACAACTGGGATCAATGACAAGACTTTTGTCAGGTAGTGTTGTGCAAATGGCACATTACAGTAACTGCACTTTTAATACACAAAAAAATAGCAAATATCATATATGTTTATATATATATACAGTATATTTGGGAATTTCTCATAAGTGTGTGTGTACTGTAATATGTGTACATATGCTTAGATTCATAATATCTCCAAGTACAGTTAATAAGGTTGTTGTTCTACTTCTCTCATATAGCAATAATGAAAATGCCCTTCCACAGTTCTCAAGTGAGAGAGTTGGGATTAAATTTGAGCTTTACTGCGACCAGTTTTAAGCCTATCTCAGGAAACAATTCCTTACCTGTAGCCAAACGCTTCACATGCATTAATAACCGTCTAGATAAGAGATGTTTTGAAGGATTATGTTTGGGAACTCATTTAGTACGTTCGTGTGCAATCCCACGGATTGTGAGCGTGTGTGTATGTAAATACGTCTAGAAGGCTCCTATCAGTCCATACAAGGCAGACTAAGTGCTTAATCAGTGCAAAGAGCCGTCATTAATCATATTTACAACTTCCATTGATTATCTACAAGTGTTGCGACTCCCTTCCAAGCCATGACGCGTCTGCGATATTAATTTGATAAAACACGGAGACCAATTGCCTGCACAAAGTCAGGGCTTTAAGTTATCACTCTGATGGATGAGCATTCTCCCTTGAGATACACCGCTGTTTACGCCAGGCCTCAGACGTTTTGATAAACTCGGTCAAATCAAGTTTACCCTACCTGATTAACAAAACTCCCATTTTATTACTAGCCTGGTTGATTAGCAGCGTGCTAATGAAAAGCAGGAGCCAGAGCTTAATTACACATGCTATACCCAGCGCACATTTATCCCTGTCGTTAATAAAGCTCCCCTGCCAAATAAAACAAATGACAACTTCCCGCCACTAAAATTTATCCGAGTCGTAAAAAGCCTTTTTTTAGCGTCCCTTTAGGGAATGGCATATAGGAGCCCATGTCTGACTCTCTCGTCATGGTTTGCGTCAGTTTGATGGTAGGCAACATGAATTGTTGAGCAATTTAAAGCTAACGTTTATTGTGGTGTTTGTCAGCATTATTGGATTTGAGGTTGTGTGTTGAAGTATGTGGAGGTGTTTTAGCCCTTGTGTCCACATTTGTGTACTAAACAGTGTAACCTCCTTTGGCATTGGTGCAAATCTGTTTGAGGTCAAAGGTTATTAGGAGAGGTTAAGGGTGTTGACGGGTCACTGTGGCATTGCCAAGAGGATCAAATCCCATCTGAGTGTTAGGAGCGGGCTTGTCATGTGATCTGGGCTTTTAACCCCAGTGCATCATGGGAGCAAGACTCCACGTATAAAACTGAGTCTGAATGTTCTTAGTTTTCCTTTGATGGACGCTTGTACTATTCCATGAGGCCATTGGAGTAGTATTTTTCCAGGAAAAAAAATAATAAACAAATATAAAATGTAAATCTAATTTATTTGACATGCTACATTCCTCAAAATATGAGGACTTGTTTTCATTGATCATATCTTTAAGTGTGTTTTGTCTGGCTGCTCTTTAATTTTTTGACCCGGTTGTGCTAGGGCAGTAAGACAAAATAGACTTGTACTAAAGATTAATTTTCTGAAAACAAGACTTATATCCTATAGATAATTGAATAAGTACAATGGCATTCAGATGTACTTCGTTTAATGAAATATATTCTTTTAATTGAGCAAGTATGCAATAAAACTGTCAGGAAAGAAATGTAAATATTACAAAAGATTTCAATAGCAATTTAATGCTGTTCTTTTAAATGTTTTGTTCATTGAAGAAAGACAGCTACCACAAAAATATTGGTCATACTTTACAGTAAGGTTTCATTAGTTTATGTATTTACTCACATCAACTAATTATGAACAGTTCTAGTAATCCATTTATTAATTATAGTTTAACATTTACTAATGTATGATTAACTTCCAAATTCATGCTTGTTAACATTACTTAATGCACTGTGAGTTAACATGAACTAACAATGAATAGCTGTATTTGCATTAACTAACATGAACAAATACTGTATTAAATGTATTGTTCATTGTTTGTTCATGTTAGTAAATGCATTAACTAATACAACCTTATTGTAAAGACGTTTTTTAAGAATCAAAATTTTAACCATCTTGTGACACTCAAGACTGGATTAATAATGCCGAAAATGTATCCCAGGAAGAAGAGTAGCAAATGTAAAATATATAAAAGTTGTAAACACACACAGTGTGTACACCTGCAGTTGTTACTTCGCTAGATCTGCAACGTTAAGTCTGAATTACAGTTGCCCAGTAGACACAG